TGCAAGTGTTTATTTTTTCATGCTTGGTTTATCTTGAATTAGGATTCTCTAAGCATTGATTTTATCTTTCCATACAAGCCCTTACTAGCATTGATATGAAAGAGATGAATTGCGGAAAGTAAATTTACTACGCTATTACATCATTTAAGGATGGGGTATACAAATTTACAAATGGAGATTGCAAGAAATTAAACCTAATTATCTATTACAACCATATTGAAACTTGAATAATGTACAAGAATTGAAAGGAATATAATGTACAAGGATATGAATGGAAAATAAATGGATTTTTGTTTAGATTTTGTTAAGAAAGAGGTTTTAACCTAATTATCTAAAAGAAAATAATTAATTAAAATAAGTAAAATTAAACCCTGGTTTAAAAGAAAATAAAATTAATCAAGAAAGCATTTTTAGGTTTTTTTAGAAAAGGTTTTAAGTTTAATCAAAATAGCATGAAAATTAATTAATTAAAAGAAAACTTAAATTCTAAGTTAATTTTAATTAAAAAAGAAAATAATTAAACCTAAATCTAATTATTAATTTATTAAGAAAAATAAATTAAGTTTGTTTAAGAAAATATTTCTTTTTGTCTTTTTTTAGTTTAAAAAAGGAAATAAAAATATAAGTATATATAAATAAATAAACTATTTTTTTAAAGATTTTTATTAATAAAAATAGTAATAATAATAATAATAATAGTAAATAATAAAAATAATTAAGAAAAATAAAATAAAATAAAATAAAAAAATAAAAATCAGGGGGTGTGAAAATGACTTGGATGGTTTAAAAGTAAAAACAGTTTTTAGTCTGACCCATTATTATTTTTTGTTTGGAAATCAGAAAAAAAGAATAAAAATAAAATAAATGGGTTGTGTTGTGCACTAAAGTGGGGGCGTTGTGCAGTGAAAATGGGAAGGCCTAGTTGTAGAGGCCCAAGGCGCGCTGGCTTGAAACAAAGAAAAGAAAATGTTGAAAAAATGAAAAAAAGTGGCAGCGCTGGGGCTTGAACCCACGCCCTTCACATAATACACGCGCTGTCTTACCACTGGGGTGACTATACATCCGTTAACTTAAACAAAACCATAAATATATATTACAAATCCATTCATAGAAATGAACTTCATCTTCAACCTCCAGCCAGGGTCCCTGTATCTCATTCATTTCTCATCCATTCTCAAAACTTCCAACATCAAACTTGTTAGAAATTTTACCAGGATTTCAGACATGTAAACAATTTGGACTAACAATCAAAGATGAGCATGTATTTCTAAAAGTACCAAATCCTGACCTAACTTTTTTCAGAGATTCAAACTTAAAATCCTCTAATCTCAGACAATATAAATGAAAACTATGGATATGTACAACTTCAGGGCAATGATATCTACATTTTGTCTTTGAAAATGCAAGCCTAACAATGCCTAAATGAAGAGGTGAAAGTTCAGAAAAATATCTCAAAAACTGGAAATTACGAAATGAGTTTGAGCTTGTTTAAAGTGATGGTGATGATTAGATAAACTTCCTCAAGTTCCCAGGAAGCTAATGCAATGCTTAACTTGAGCTATGGATGACTGGAATGGTCTGGAGAAGTCAAGATGCAAGCTCAGTTTTTTGGTTATGGAGGAAGGTGATGGAGATGTTACAGTCGTGTAACAGGGTGTGAGATTGTTTGTAGGTGATGTTTAGGAACTTTTGGAAGTGAAAGGCCAAGAAACGCACAAGTGGATTAAGTGTTTGGGATTTCTGGCCAGAAAGTGCAGCAATGGATATTGTTTACGTAATCCTGACTTTAAGAAGGTTTGAGGGCTTAAGCATTCGTGTGTTAGCTTGTAAATAGTGTATTTACTTATAGGCAAAAGGTTTTGAGACTTGAAACAACTCAAAATTTGAATTTACATGTTTAAGCTCAACATGTGATTTTTTGACAAAACAAGTTTCCATGCCTTGTACTTGGTTCATAGAGTTGTTAACCACTTTAAACACAATCCCTATGACTTTGTGGATGTAGTGTACTCAAAGAAAACAAGTTAGGAGCTCAAGAAGCTGACTTTGTGCATAAAGCTTGCTTTACAAGAATGGATATGTTACTTTCTCCCCAAAATGGTAAATTGGTTTCGAAAAAGCTTGAAACACTTGGATAAGGGCATAATCAGTTGTGTAAACCATTAATTATAGAGTGAAAAACAATTTTGAGGTCTGCAAAGTGAGGATTATGCGACATGGCTATGGATTTGGTTCATGTTCATCACAAAATATGTCTTGCAAAATAAGTTTGAGACCCTAACTTCTTGCCTTCGATTCTCTTAGCTCAAGTATGATCTTGATGAGTTCTTAGACATTTTGGAAAGCTTGTAACATCCCATACAACCTTCATGTTGGACATTTTTGAAAATTCAATTTGGAGCTAGGTGAAAAGTTGCCATGAAGTTAGGTCAAAATCCTGCCTAGTTAGGGCAAAATTTCACTAAGTCTTTTAGTTTCATGGACATGTCTTCATAAATTCATAACTTGAAATCCAATCATTTCTAGAAAAAGTTATGCCCTACAATGTTTTAGATCTCATTGAGATCTACAACTTTTATGTTGGAAGTTTTCCTTGAATCATCTTGCATAATGGTGGAAATTTGGCACAAAGTTATGAAAAATGTTAACTTTCTAACACTTAGAAAAATTCTAAGTCTTGGAAATTTTGACTTTTCAAAAATGAATTTTGACTTTTTGGTTTCTTGATGAACAAACTTCATATTTTGACATGTATTGATGAAATATGATTTTTGAAACTTGATTTTGATAAAAAAAGTCAAAGTTTGACTTTTCAGTATACATTTGACTTTTCATCAGTTGACTGAAATTCATCTGTCAATCCAATGATCTTGAGTGGTGATTTGAACTATGCAATTAGGTCAAGATGGTGCATTTGAATCCTTGAGATCATGTCTTAAACCAATAAGTCATTTCTTTGGTCAAAAGTTAAGAACCGAACCTTCTCAATCAAAACCCTAATTTGACCATTTTGCCCTTTTGGTGTTCTGATCAAATTTCTTTGAGGAACTGTGATCAAAACTTGATCAATTGACATATATGAGTTTATAGTGTTGATATGGATAAAAAATAATGAAGTTTGACTGGAAATTGACCACAATTGACTTTTTTCCTAATACCGTTGATTTTAGGTCAACTGACTGAGCAAAAATGTGATCCAAAGCTTGAAACTTGTCATGAGCAATCTTGAGGGTTCCTAATGATCCATGAAAGTCATTTGAGGCCTTGAAAGTCCAATTGTCCTTGTGAAAACTCAAACCCTAATTTTTAGTTGTTAGTGATTGAGGACGTGTCTTGAGCTGATCAAACCTTGTGTAGTCTTGTATCAATGGAGATCTTATGAGAGATTTCTTGAGGAATGAGATGACAAATTTTGGGGTACAACACATATCGACCTATTTATTCAGTATGGCTTCTTAGCCGTTTTTTCTACTGCTGGTAATGTCTCATCTCACCATTGTGAAACGATGATTAGGACAATTAATACTTCAGATGAAAATGTGGTTCATGTTAATTTTACCATGCTCCATTGTGGGCGTGAATTGTACTTGTACTAAGTACAATAAAATTATTATATACCAAATGCATAAACAAATATACTCCACATTTTCAATAATTTTACCTTTTCAATTAATACCAAATGCATTGCATAATTTTTTTTAATAAATTAAATTATAGATTTTATGCAATTTAGTCAATTAAATTTAATTTTGAAAAGGATTTGACCCATTTGAATCTCTTTTAACAATTTTTTTCACAACATTCTAACCAATATAAAAAATAACTCTAATCAAAATTATAAAAATTAAAAAATTTTCAAACACTTAAAAAACTTTAATATCTCTCAATGATTTCTATTTTATTTCGGATTGTATTCAAAAGTTATTTAGGTAATAATATAATTAATTTAGTTTAAGTAAATTTCTTTATCAAATGTATTTTTGTTTGACACAAATAGTAGTAAAGTATAATACTATAATAAAATAGAATATACTTATCTTAAACAAAAAAAAATTCATTATAAAAAAAAGTCTAGTTAAATAGTTTTCTTTTGCCAAATTAATTAAATTAAATAGTTAAAATTCAAATATCTTTAAAACGTACTTTACTTTTTTTTTTTTGGACGGAAATGTACTTTACTTGTTCAGTTATGTTTAAGAGTTCGAAATAGACCAAACTAATAACATGGACTTATAGGCTAGTTTAGATAGGTTTAAGCTAGATTCTTTTTTAAAATAGAAAATATTCAATTTTTTTATAAATCTATTTAGTTAAAAAAATTAAATTAAGGTTAAAAAAAAACCTTTTAAATTTATCAGGCCGACTTATTTAAATAAATATAAATATTTTTATTATTATTATATGATATTTGTATTTTAAATTAAAATACAAAATAAAGTTTATATTTTTAAAAAAAATTATGAAAATATATTGAAAAAACCTATGAAAAATATTATAAGTTGTTTTAATAAATTCTCTCAAATAAATAGTATCACAAAATATATATTAATAGATAAACTTAAATAAGTCAATACAAATAAATATCTAGTCTAATTAATATTTTTAACTTATTTATTAAAAAAATATACAAATAAAATAGACTTTTATGTAAATTAATAGACCAATTATACTTTCGAAAAAATAGACTCAAACTTAAAAGGAAACCTTTGATAGGCCAAAAGTCAGAATTAAACTCTAAAATTTTTAGTAAGTACTCAAACTTAACAAAAACTAGCTCGATTCGGCGTATTTTCATCCTTGCTTACTGTTCACTTAAATTTCATGAAAGTAATTCATGTAAATTTCATGTAAGCACCTTTTAACCTTCTTACAACCTCACCCAAAACCCGCGAAAATCAAAACCCTGCATTCATTTCTTCCCATAGATAAAAACCCAAACCAGAGAAAGAGTAAACAACGGTGAATTAGAACATCGAAATTCCACAGTGGTGGCTGCTCCAATGGATCCGATCCAAGTATCCAACGAGCTCTCTTTCCGCGTCGGATTCTCCGGCCACAGCGGCCATCTCAGGGTGGAGCCGCTGTCCACGGTGGAACGTCCCAAGCCGCAGCAGTCCATTCCCGATTTCATTCTGGTCGGTTCATCTTCTCTGCTGTTGACCTACATGCTCTCTCACTTCACTCCATTTCCAGCTTCTTCGGTTTTTACTGTCATCTTCTTCAACATACTGTCACTCGAATTGCAACCTAATATTAATTTTTCCTCGTTTAATTATTATGTGCTTAATTGAGTAGTAAATTATTCGTTTTTTCTCTTAATTATTTAGCACATTCAATAATGTACTAGTATTATACAGTTTTTTCAATTTGTTATTGTGTAGTACAATTAGGTGTAGGTTTTCTATAGAGGACTGGTTTATTGGTTTCAATTTCATACTAAGAGTAGGAAATATAAAAGAGTTGGTGATTTAGTATAAAAAAACTACTCGAGCAGAGTGTTTGTAGTAAAATATAAGATTTCAGATGTTCAGTTACAAAACCCTAGGTTGCTTGTGCTAAGTGTCAGAGTCGTCTTTGAGGGCGTGCAACGTGTGCTAACGCATAGATTCAAAAATTTAATACGGTTAAACCGTGACTATAAAAGGGCTTCATAAAATATTTGTTGCGGCTTGTATAAAAAAATTGTCGCGGTTAAACTTAAGACGGCTCTGCTAAGTGTACAAACTACCGAAGACTGATAAGTGGTTATTATTTTATCATAGCATGTTTTTTTTTTGTACTCAATCCCTTCAAAATCATCTTGAATACAATCTAACATGATTTTGATAAAAGTCTAGATGTTTGGTTATTTTGAAATAAAATTAATTTTGTTTCTAAATCTTGTTTTTAAGTAAACACAATATAGAATATAAAGTAAGTTTGTGGCAGGTTAAAATATAAACTTAGCCAATTTTTTCACCAAATTTGCTTTTAAAGTAAAAAAATCCAAACATAAATGACATTGACTTCACCTCAAAGTTCAAACAGTCTCAATTTTAACCAAATAAATTTTACAGAATCAGATTTATTTCAAAACTGATGTTTCGAAAACACTCACAGAAACACACGATTAACATTTGTATTATTGCACCCTGTTGGCATTGTGGTTAGCAAGGTTCAATGGATGGGTTTATTCCCTTTTGTATCCTCCTGCTTTCAGACCTCTGACTACAATGATTTCATTATTGTCATCTCGTTGATAATTTTTTGCATACTTGTTTCAGCCACCTGCCTTTCCTAGGGAGACACCTGAATCTATAACGAAGTTTATAGAAGAGACTTATCTCCAGCCGAGATTGGATCCAGATGAATTTGCACCAGAAAAAGTTGGGAGGCAGTGGGAATTTGATTGGTTTGACAGGGCTAAAGTTCCTCTTGAGCCATCAGTGCCGCGAACTGTGGTAGTTCCAATATGGGAACCTCCGTTTCGACGTCCAGTGAAAGAAACCTGGAAGCCAAAATTTGAGGAGGTGTGAGGTGCTTTTGTGTGCAATACACGCGTGTTCCTAATTAATGGTCTATTTTGTTTGATACAACAATATGAACCTGCACATTCTGTGTTTTTGTTGGAAAGATTTGGTTAAATTAGAACAGACTCAGTTTTAAGTTGCTCTTAATTAATTTTTGTCACCTCTTTTTTTATATTTTTTTATAACTAATTTTTGTCACCTTTTCACTGGTGCCTATAATGTTGTATTAGGTGAGTGTATCTGATCTGTCATCAGGAGCTGTAGAATCTGGACCATTGCCACGCACTTCTGTGAAGGATTTTGTTAGGGGAAGCATCAACAATCGCCCTTTTCGTCCAGGAGGTTTGGATGATTCACAAAGTCTAGAAAGAACTCTTCCACCTGGTGCTACTAATGGCGAATGGGTCCGTGAAATTTTAAATGGTGGCCCTGCGCAGACAATACCGCCTAGCCTAAAGCAAGGATTGGACCTTGGTGCACTCAAGGTTATTTTCTACTTTTAGTTATTATTCATTTATGAGGAAAAGTACTTCTTGTTTTATGTTCGATCCTATCCATAGTTCAAAATATGATACACCTCATGCAAGGTCTGTTTTTATTTTTTATTTGCAGCGGTATCCATTGTCATGGAATGTTTACAAGGATGCCAATACGCCAAAGAGCTCATTAGATGAAAATTCGGTCAGTTAACCTTGGCATTTTCTGGATCTAAATTTGTGAAAGCTGTTTCGGTGTACATTCTGTTAGTTTGCATCGTAGAACCCCCAATCTTATGCCAGATGGTGCTACTGCCAATATCAGGGATATAGTCAATTTAAGAACGTGCTTGCTTGATTATATTGGTTGTTAATCAAATAAATATACACAATCTTCTTTCTTATGTTGACCGCTGGAATGCAGAGTGGATTGTCTGTACAGTTTGACGACTTATTCATGAAGGCTTGGGAAGAGGATGCTGTTGGAGAACAAGATGAAGATGGTACTTGACTTACATTTATAACTTTTTGAGAATTGCTGTTTTTTCAACTTACATTTTAAGTTTGGAAATCCTTCTGTTGCCGTATAATCGAAGGAATCAAACCTCTGCAAGTTTGGAACCAAGTCTTTACTAAACCAAACTCTTTTTCACCTCTTTTGTGGTTAATGACATGCTGTTTGTTCAGGTCATTTATCAGAAGTGGAGACTGTTACGGTGGAAGCTGAAGTTGATACACCCGAAGCATCCAGCAAAGCTAGCGAGAGTGGAATGTCACTTGATGAAATTTTATCAGCTGACTCAGAAGGGTCAAAACTGCATTTGGAGGGATTTAGTGGCGAAGTGGGACACAAGAAAAAGCTAGTAAGTGGTTATGCAACATCGTTGTCATGGTTTGGGAGCAAAAGAACATTTCATCTTTCTTGTTATACATCATTATTTTCTTGCTGTTTTTGTGGCAATGCTTGAGATAGGAAAGCTATTCTTTTGGCAGACTTGGGCTAAGCTCGAAGCCAGCGAAGAAATTGCTGATCGCTTTCATGAACTTATTCCTGACATGGCACTAGAGTTTCCTTTCGAATTGGATGCATTTCAGAAGGAGGTATTTACCTTGCTAATCATCTTCTTATTAGTCGTCCAAGTACTTTGAGATCTATACTCAATACCATATGATTGAAGCTACAATTACAAATATAGGTATATAATAACTATTTCATAGACCTGACACAATAAGAACTTGGAATAATAACAACTATGTTGGAATGTTACCCTTCACTATTTCTGTTCTGGGCTGGAAAGTGATCTTTACACTTGCATTACCCTCTACATATGTGACAATGTCACCAGGAGGTTTTCAAGTAAGTGACTGATGGTTGAGACCTGCAGTCTATATTTATCTGCTGCAACCTTGCGAGAAACTACCAATGACATTCTGATTTAAACAAGTCATTTCATACTTCAATTTCATCCTTACTATGATAAAAAATAGTTGTATTATATGCAGATCTCCCTTTTCTAAATAGCTTTTAATTTTTTATGATTCCCTCCCTAATTTTAGAATGGTCATTATTAGCATTTATGTGCCTTACTCAATATATTGTACCTTCACTTTTGTGCCAATCTGTCCTAATTTTTTATTTCTCTTTCCCCCCTCTTTGATTGGATAAAGAGGATGAAAATTGTTAACAGTATAGTTCAAATGAAGAGTAAAATCGGAAGAAAATAGGGTTGCACCAAAAGTTGGTATCCTTTTATGTCCCACATTGCTTAGGGATGTGGCCAGTGTAGTGTTTATAAAGCTTGGGCAACTCTCACCTTACAAGCCGGTTTTGTAGGGATGAGTTAGACGACACCCAACCCAAACTCTAAGAATATTGAATTATCTTTTGATGTCCTTTCTAGTACAGATATACAACTTTCGTATATTTGGATATAAACATTTTATTTGGTTTCCTTCTTATATAATGAATGCAGGCTATTTATTATCTTGAAAAGGGGGAATCTGTTTTTGTGGCTGCTCACACATCCGCCGGAAAGACAGTAGTTGCTGAATATGCATTTGCCCTAGCATCAAAAGTATGCCTGAGTTTTTGACTGCTGGTTCAATGTCTTTATTTCTCCCTTTTTGCTTCGGGTAGTGCAATTGCATGAAACCATGGACTATATTGCTCAGTATCATTGCAGTCAATTTTGGAATATTTCTCTCATGTTTTTTATTCACCTAGCTAATCCACTAGTTTAACTTTCAACTACTCCAATAATTGCGACGTTATACTTTTGCATAATGATATTTTTGTCTTAACTCATTATTTTACAATAAAAATCAATATAATTAATCATTTTTTTAATTTTTTTTTGCATTACCTTAAATGACGTTTATAATGAGACTGCGGGAATATTAATTTTATTATACTACCATCACGATAATTTGACGAAATCTTGTAATATTGTTAAGTTTTTATCCTTTATATATATATAAAACTCCTCTCAATCAATTTGACTGCAGAACATGAAGGAATATTTTGAATTTACTAATAAACATTTGAACTTCATCCATGTAGCACTGCACTAGAGCTGTGTATACTGCTCCAATTAAAACCATTAGCAATCAGAAATATAGAGATTTTTGTGGGAAGTTTGATGTCGGGCTTCTTACCGGTGATGTAAGCTTGAGGCCAGAGGCTTCTTGTCTCATCATGACTACAGAAATTTTAAGATCAATGCTCTATCGCGGTGCAGATATAATTCGCGACATTGAATGGGTAGTTGACTTTCTTTTTTCCTCTACAGTAAAAGGACCATCCTTATGAATTTCTTGCAGCTATAATGATTAGCTGACTTATTTTCTCTATAAATGTGGTAGGTTATATTTGACGAGGTGCACTATGTCAATGATGTAGAACGAGGTGTAGTTTGGGAAGAAGTAATTATCATGCTTCCAAGGCACATCAATATCATCCTCCTTTCTGCCACGGTATTAGTTGGTTCTTTGTTGATATCCTACTTACTTGAGATAAGCATTAAAAAGTCAGATTCTGATACTGCCAATGCTGAATTTGTTTCTGCAACTCGAAGCGAAGCACATAAGGCATTATGGTTCTGTCATGAAATTTTATGACTGAAAAAGAGTTTGGCTTTTAATTATTTGAAATTTAGGAATCTAGTTTTGGACTAATCATTAATGGAGTATTGTCATTTAAAGGTGGATGAGATTACAAGTGCTAAGTGATTGTTCTTCAATCTTTTGATAATAAAAAGTAGACTTAGGCTTTGTTCGGTCTGGCCAAATTGCTAGCTTATAGCTTATTGGATTAGCTGATACACTTGTTTGATGAGAGGATATGCGTTTTGATAAATAAGCTTATCTCACTAGCTTATTATCTTTTTTGAGAATTTTTTTTTTGTAACAGATTTCGAGATTATACTTCAAGTAACATTTGATTACAGCTTATTACTTTTCTCTCATTTACTTACCCTTACTATTTTTATTTTACTTCTCCCTTTTTAAAATAAAAATAATATATATTTTACTTCTATCAAATTTTATGATGTATCATTTAATTTAAACAATGTCAAATGATAGTTACTGTAAAACTATAAAATTTGCACAGAATCAAATAAGCATGTCAATTTTAAATTGGTAGCTTTTCAGCTATAAGCTTATTTCTTACCAAATATAATCTTAGCTGTCTTAAATTTTTTTTTTTTGAGTTACTTATAAGTCTCACTAATCTTTCTTTATGGGTTGGAAGTGATATACACCCACTCGCCTTACTCAATTGAAGCCACGAGCACATCAGAATGCTGGTTTCTACTGCATGTATTCTTAAAACTTGTTTTATTGGCTGCGAGCATCAGAACAGCAAGTTTTTTCTTTCTTGCCTAAGTCATATTTTGATGCTATGAAAGCTCAATAGTAATTTTTATTAAGACTGCTTTTTCTTTTGCAATATCTCTATACATGATTACTATATGTTGCCTATCTTGGTTGGCTTTAGGTTATGCCTTTTATTTTTGTTATCGCAGCAAAGCTATATTGGCTTAATCATTCATTTTTAATATTTTGGCAGGTTCCCAATACCATTGAATTTGCCGATTGGATTGGCAGGACAAAACAAAAGGAAATCCGGGTTACGGGGTGAGTTGTGAATTTATCTTAGACGTCTATTGAGGGATAATTAGCAGTTGAACGTATTACCAGCGGTGGAATTTATTTCAACACATCCGGCCCTTTTGAAAATATGCAATAATACAGAGTGCATTTTGTTCCCTTTTTCATCAATGCTCGTAGGCCTCTATGAGTTTTTTACTACTGTAGATTGGCTATTAGGATATCCTCTTTAACTTGTGATTTCTTTCAATTTTTCAAACACTGAAGAGCATTCTAAAAATAAAGTTATTTTCTCACGGAATGTAAAGGTTGCTACTATAAGACTGAAATTTACACCTATGGAGGAACACTGTAAGGAAAAAACATTGGTGATTCCTGCTGTCATTATTTTTTCTTATTATATTGATCAATTTTTCAATCAGGACAACAAAAAGACCCGTCCCATTGGAGCACTGCCTTTTTTACTCTGGAGAACTATTCAAAATTTGTGAGAGGGAAATATTTCTGCCTCAGGGTTTGAAAGCTGCTAAAGATGCTTCAAGAAAAAAACATTTGACTGCTGGTCATGACAATGCTCGTGTTCAAAAACGAGAAAATACATCTCGAACGAAACAGCATGGAACTAATTTCTCTGGAACTGGCAGCGGCTATCATAATAATGGCAATGGCCAAAGCAGATGGAGAGCAGAAGCTTCAATGTGGCTGATGCTTATCAACAAACTCTCCAAAAAATCCTTACTTCCTGTAAGTTGATTAAGTTCTATGCTATCTACCATTAGCTTTATTCTATGGTCCATATTTATTAAAATTTAAATTATGAACATGTAGAATTTCCAAATTCAATCTTGACCCACCTCTTTCTATTTCCACATAAATAACTGCACGGACTGACAAGAGAAAAAAAGAGGAGTAAAGGAAAAAAGAAAACAGGGAAGAGGCATTAATAGTAGTGAGCCCAAAATTCAAATAATGACACAAATCAAACAATATTTGACAAATTAAAACTACTAAATCAAGGGGAAGTATTTCTTAAAAACAAAAACTACACTTGGTAATTATAAAAAATGATAATAAAAATTCATAAAATAAAGGAAACGCCATATATTATTTCTCAAACAAAACACCCAGGAAAATTTTTAGCCAGAATTTCAAACACACGAATACATTTGTTAAACCAATCCCACCAGAAAATGACTGAAAAATTAAATAAAAATAAGAATAAATCAAGAAAGGAGAGGGAGAAAAAGATTTACTTGTTATTGTTGTTACAATATATTTGTTTTTATTTTTATGGTTCTTACAAAGATATGTAGAGTCACGCACATAACCATAAGAGGAAGGGATCAGTCTTGCTGCATAGATATTTCATTTACTTTGTTGTTAGCTTGAAGTTCGTGTTTATGATGTTCTGAAAAAGATGATGAGTAGCAGACATAGCCACACATACAGATGAAGGAGAAGTGTTAGATTGTGGGTGAGAGAGTGTGTAGGTGTTCTCATTTTTCCTAGTGAATCTGAACCATTTATTAAATTTAAATCTAATGGTTATGGGTTCCACCGGTGAAAGGCTTAATTGAATTAGAAATAACTTAATTAACCACCCAAGGAGCTAATTGTTCATATATGTTAGAGTTTTTTAGTTTTACTTTTGTAATTTTCTTATATTTTATTACTGAGTGAGTGCAACTGATTGCTGATTGTGTTTTAACTTTCAGTGGTTCTGGCATTTCCAATACTCTTCCTTTTACTCATTTTTTATTAAATAAAAACTACATTTTTATATTGGATCACTGAAAGAAAGGTTAAGGATCCAATTGAAACAAATTTTAGGGACACGTTTGGAAACTTCTATTTTTTTTGGGAACCAATACATCATTATTATTTTCAAATCTTAATTGTGAACTTGAAACTTTGATTTGGGAGAACAGGTGGTCATCTTTTGTTTTTCTAAAAATCGATGTGATAAATCTGCCGATGGCATGACTGGAACTGACCTCACTAGTAGCTCAGAAAAAAGTGAGATCCGTCTTTTCTGTGACAAAGCATTTTCAAGACTGAAAGGATCCGACAGAAATTTACCACAGGTTAGTTCATAAATATAGCTTAGCATTTGTCCGATTGTTGTGCTAGGCTTCTAATTATCTTATATACAGGTTGTTCGAGTCCAAAGTCTTCTTCGGAGAGGGATAGGAGTACATCATGCTGGCCTTCTTCCAATTGTAAAGGAAGTTGTTGAAATGCTGTTTTGCCGCGGTGTTATCAAGGTGACATGCAATTTTCATTTTGTTGCATGACATTCATGTTGTGTTCTTAGATTTTAGCTAGCTGTGTCAAAAATGCAGCAACCTGTTTTCTATTTCGAAAGTAATAGATTTACATTTTTTCCTTTTTTGGTTGTTAAAATATTTTAAATTTGCTTCTTGACTCATATACTGTTTAGGTCTTGTTTTCCACAGAGACGTTTGCAATGGGAGTCAATGCGCCTGCTAGAACGGTGAGTCTCTTTAAAGTGTTGCAGCTAAAATAAGAGATGCATTTCAAATATTTTTTAAAAAGCTCAAGTAAGTGTAATTAAATTTTGAACTTATTTGCCTAACTGCTGAATTCCATGAACTATAACCATAAAAATGCTAAAATGTAAAACCGGGGATCAATTTTGTTATCCAAATGGTAATCCGGTACCCATAATAATAATATGGTTTAGTTAGTGGGTACCCAAATTCCATCATGTATTAAATTAGGAAAATGCTTATTAGTAAGTAAAAGTGAAAACAAGAAAGGCAAGAATAAATCTCAACCATTCTTTGTCACAACCACCCATGACCCCTATTAAAAAGGAAATTTAATTTATAATAAATTAAAAATTATCCACTAAATTAATGACACAATACATTCTTCTCTTTCTTGTTCAAATTCTTTCGCACTAAATAGCATTACTCATAAAATTATATGCTTCCCTCTTTTCAAGCTCTAACATATACACATTATGATGAAAGTCAAATTTCACTAGTAACACATCAATGATTTCTGAGCTTAAAATTTAATTTACAGGCAACGAAGAGAACATGAAATCCCTGACGCTATGGATTCATGCAATGCAATTATGTATGAATAAAATTTGATCCGAGGCTAACCAGTCAAATAAAAACCATTTTAAATTTTCAAATAAAATCAATGATGTTGATGCAATTTCATTATGTATTAAATTTATTTAAAGTATTTGAATTTAAAAAATTGATGTTAATTCAAATTGAATAAATTAATTTAGATTTAATTAGATAATTTGGATTGAAATCAAAACCGATTTGAAACCGGTTTTAAATCGGTTATGAATTTCAAACTGGTTTTTGTGACAAATGGTTTGGTTTATAAACTATAACCATAAAAATGGGTTGGTTCACATTAATTGGTTACCCATGCACACCCCTACATTGATTGAAAGGTTTGATCTATAGTTCTTGTTGAGTCTCAAATTAACTTTAAGATCTTGTTTTATTTCATTTTAAAAGTGAGTGTTCTTTGCATTTGTAATGAATACAGAAAACACTGAGAAAACTAGACAGCAATAAAACTTCTGTGTTGAAATGATTGGAAATGTATCACAGAATACCAGAGTGCCAACTTATAGAGTTGGTGAAGCCAGGGTCTCTCCTTAATAACTCACTAATCAGTTAAGCAGTTATAACTTATAACTGCTAACTGAAACATAAACTTAAAGCAGAAATACAGTGAGATAGGGGTAGAATAAAGCTCTGTTAGAATGAAAAACACTACAGAAATCTTTGATATCCCATAATCTTGTTTAACATAGACTGCATTTATATTCTTTTGCAGGTAGTCTTTGATACTGTAAGGAAGTTTGATGGGAAGGAATTTAGGCAGTTACTACCAGGAGAATACACTCAAATGGCAGGTCGTGCTGGCAGAAGAGGACTTGATAAGATTGGTACCGTCATTTTGATGTGTCGCGACGAACTCCCAGAAGAGAGTGATTTAAAACATGTTATTGTTGGAAGTGCAACTCGTCTTGAATCTCAATTTCGGCTAACCTATATTATGATCTTGCATCTTCTTCGAGTTGAAGAATTGAAGGTGTGATATCAATCATTCTAAATGTTAGCTCTAAAATATTATGACAACGGGGATGAAGATCCCATAATTAATAATGTTGGAATAAATTAGCAGAGGAGCAGCTTGGGGTAGTTTAAATTTCTTTCCAACTTACACATATCTCAAAATTTGGGTTGGGTCTAATTCATCCCTACAAAAACGGCTTCTAGGATGAGGATTGCCCCCACTAATGAACACAACACATACCATATCTCTAAGCAATGTGGGAGTAAATCCATCCTATCAAACCCAACCCAATGAAGGTGTTGGAGGCTGCAATGAAGGCAAGCCAGAGTGTTGCAATTAAGGCGACTAGGGGCGGACCGCAATTAAGGCAAAATTTCCAACAACATATAATTAGATCATTGGGAAAAAGTTTTGATGAACATTTCTTCCATGAAAGGGGGTATATCTAATGGGATTGCAAACAAGAGAGGAGAAAAAGCTTCATTTTATATATTAACACTCAGAAAAGGAAAGCTCAAGAAATAATTTACATATGGAGTCTCACATGGTTTTAGATACAATCACACAACTATGTACTAACTTTAATATTCATAACTAGTCTATTACTCAAACAGTTACTATATCCTGAAACCCCCCCTTAAGTTGGGTGGAGGGTATTAAGAGAACCCAACTTGGAGTTCAACTCTGAAAACTTTGAAGCTGGTAGAGCTCTATGTAGTTAGTGGTGGATTGCAGAATGTTGTGACAGGTCCCCAAAATCCTATTATGGTGAAGCAGGTGGCAGTATGGTGTCTACACCGAAGAGGATGTATTTGAAGAAGCTTCTAAATCCAAGTGTCAACTTGGTAAGAGAGAGACATACATATGGATATGGAAGAGTCAACTTGATCTTGCATATGCATTGTTGCTTCAGCCAAGTAAGCTTGCGAGAGAGTCAACAGATGCTGGCATTGTTTGGGAGAGAAACCAACACTTGGTTTTAGTGCCTTGATGGAATTGGCATCCTGCATCTGATTAACCATAAAATTTGAAACACTTGTCTCTGGCATGTTCCCATTTATGCCACGGCAAGTGCTGTCTAAATTGCCATTCATAGATTATGAAGATTGATTACCAGCAACATATGCTACATGACTTTGGCATATTCACTAAAACACTACTAACATCTTTGTACCAATGTACTTACTATTCGGTAAACCACTAAATAACATCAAATTAAAGTGCAGTTAGAGCCTCAATCATACCAAAATAGTGAAAAACCCATTACTGGCTTCTATAAGTAATGTTGTTTAATATTTAACTTTCTTGATGAACTGTGTTACCAAATTGTGCCAAAAAATTGGTTGCAGGTAGAGGACATGCTTAAAAGAAGTTTTGCTGAATTTCATGCTCAGAAAAAACTTCCGGAAATGCAACAGCTTTTGAAGCGAAAGCTTAATCAGCCTACACAGGTTATTGAGTATGTCAATCACTCATTCCTTCTCTTCAATATTGTTTTTTCAGGCTTAAGTTAATTTCTCTTTATCATACAATCTTGCTGTCATTATTATTTTCATCCGTACTTTTAGCTGTTTGGCAGTCCCATGGGAGTGGTCAAATGTTCACATAATGTGATACAAACAAAGATGAAGTAAAGACAACTTTAGATATAGAATAAAACCATTTATTAATTTTCACCTAATGTTTTAAGCTTTTGGACAGTTATAGACAATACGAAAGTAGTATTTTAACTGTGATATGGTGGTGGTTGGAAATTGGAAATATTTGATTCAGAATGTTTCACTTAATCATATTCACAAGAGATTTATAAGTATATATACAAGAGAAACATGATTCCATAATATATCAGAATCAAATTGGCATCCAAGCCAAGGGAACTATGAGAGGCTAACGAAGATGAACAAATAACGGCGTAATCATGATCATCATTCCCCCTTAAGTTGATGCATATATTTTAGATGCATCCAACTTATTACATATGAAAGCTATCCTAGGACCCAATAAAGATTAGGTAAACATGTCTGCAAGATGATTCATTAGAACTCACAAATATAGTCTTGATGTTGCTTGGGAGAATTTTTTAATGAGACAATCAACCTCTACTTGTTTAGTCTTCTCATGAAAAAATTGAATTGATCAAAGATGAAAAGCCGTTTGGTTGTCACAAGCAAGTTCTTTAGGACCTATGTAATAAAAAATCAACTCTCGAAGAAAATTCCTTAGCAGCAGTTGTAGAGCATTGCTGTAAACCACCTGTCAAGAGGAGCTGTTCTGCAAATTATACATCAGATTAAGTATCTTGTATCCTCAGACCTATGAAGCACCGACACGATACGTGTATCGGATACGATACGTTACTAATTAAATAATACAAGATACGATATGCTTAAGATACATGTGTAAAAATTATAGTGTGAAGGTTGAAGAAGAAGAAAATAATAGAAGAAAGAAACTTGCACAGTTGCAAAAAGAAAGTAATGTTACTGTATAAATGTATAAATAATACTTGATTAATATGAATGAATTTCAAATATTAACTATCGAAAGAAAGTAACGTCACAATATTTATTATAGGAATAGAAAAGAAATATTGAGAATTGAAAAATTATTATTAATAAAAGATATGATTAATAGGAATGACGTTTAAATATTAAAAATTGAAAGAAGATAAGTTATTAGGAAAAGTTATAGGTATTATAGGAAATGTAAAGAAATAAAAGTTACTATAATAAATTTTAAATATTGAGAATTGAAAAGAAATCATGGGAATTGAAATCAGTAATTATTAGGAAAGATGGCCATTAAACAACCACCATTAAAAAGCTGTAACAAGAAATAAAGGGTCATTAAAAAAATTGGTAAAAATTGAAAAGTCACGGGAGGTATCAGAGTATTGCTGCCGTATCGGAAAATTTTTATTTACTTTTTTAAATAAATAAATTCGGATACTCCTTCGATACGTATCGGTGCCGTATCGGTACGTATCGGTGCCGTATCGGCCGGAATTTTGAAGTATCCGTGCTTCACAGCCTCTGACCAATAAGATATCCTTTTGAAGAGATAGGTTATTAGGAACCCTGATTATTTTAGAAGATTCATGATAAAATTGTGAATATTACTCATAATCTTGGAATTTTGACTACAATTTCTGTTATGTTTATTGTGTAAGGATTACAAAAGAAATTGGTCTTATTTATAGACCTTATAATGACCTGTGCAGCAGGTAACTAAGCCGAATATAATTGACATATGCCAGTTAGTTTGTTAGGGTGGTTACTGTTGAGATAAGAATTGATTTCTATATAATCATATACAAATTAACTCATATCTCAACAGTTGGATTGTTGGAAGAGAGTTAAGGCATCAGACTTCCGTTTTAGGAGATAAATCCAAGTAAATTTGGTGTGAGCATCCACAGAAGTGATGTAATATGAGAACTCAATGGTGGATGTGAAGGGTGCATGACCTCACAAATCACTGTAAATTAATTTAAAAAAGGTGCATTGTAAATAGTGACTGAAGAGTGAAATGGCAATCTATGGGATTTTCCTAGACAACAAGTGCTGAACTCATCCGTGCTCTTATTACTAGAAGGAATATAACATGATTTGAGTATAAAATGTTGAACATCCCCACTTGGTTGATGTAACCTAGAATGTCAAGTCGAAAAGAAAATACCATTTGCAGTTGAACTATTTACAGCAGAACAAGTAGAACTAAAAATAGATTAGACACTATGAGAGGGTGTAGCTGCAAATCTGGAGTGATTCAGCAGGATAGGAACTTTGTAGAGGCCATCCTTGTCAAGCCATCCTTTGAGAAGAATCTCAATGGAAGCCTGACATTTAACAAAACACAGATTAGGATGAAATACAAAATATATGTGGTTATCCTTGGCAAACTGGCTAACAGTAAAAAGATTTTTGGTTATAGTGGGAACATGTAATAGGTTATTTAATACTAGTCGAAACCTAGAGTTTAAAGGAGAGGCAAATTTACCAGAGGAAAGAATCGACATACGTTGGAAATTGTCAGTGATGATTTAATCAGGGCCATCACAAAGTGATAGCTGTTGGATGTTGTTAGCATTGGAAGTGACATGGTGAGAAGCTACTGAGTTAGAATACCAGTTTACTGAGCTTGCAGAGTCAGAGTTAGCTATCATAGCCTGTGTGACCTTTGTTGGAAAGTGCCACTCATAGAAGGCATCATAGAAAACTTAAGGAATTGTGGATAAGTAGGCATGGAGAATGTTGGAGGTTAAGGCATGCCACGAGGCATTGGTTCAAAACATTGTGAAGAACTATAAGGCCAAGGCATAGGCCAAGAATTAAATGAAGGTTAAAAGCCACCATTTGCTGGGGTATTTGCAGCTGATGACTAGGGAGAGGTGTAAGAGTTGTTTTGAGGACTTTGAGCAAGGGGAGCAGATGTCCGTACTTGTGGCAGACTTGACATTGAATGGAGCTATGACCACCATGTCCTCTGCCACCATTATCACCACAATATGATCTACCACCCTTTTCACCAGAGAAATCTCTAGTTTTCTTGGACTCAGTATCATCAGAGCTGGAGAAAGATGATTTTCATTGTGTTCAGAAAAGCAGGATTGCAGAGGAAGCAGGATTAACGGAAGGTAAAGCTAGTTTTCTAAACCTTTCAAGAAGAGCTTCATTTTCTAGTAGAGTTTCTACCTCTTCAACTGAGATTCAACTGAGATGCAGCCAAATTTTCCACTTATCAAAGATATTATTGATTCATAATATTTAGGCAGTCCTTCAGGTATGACATCAAGATGTTCATGAGGTGAGATTGTTTCACCAATAGTTTGATTAAACTGATAGTGGAATCAATTTTGAGAAAGAACTCCGAAACTGAGGTGTTTTCAAGCTTCTTGTTTCTGAGTTCAGAGCGAAGTTGGCAAAGTTTCGCTTGCCATGTTGAAAATACACGTGGATCGTGTCCCATAGCTGCTACAAATTCTTGCAGCCTATGACGCAACGGAGCATTTCTTTGGAAATTGTTGATTGAAGCCATGCAAGAAGTAGTTGAATCTGTTACTCTTAGACTGCAAACTCTTTGGACACGAGGTTAGCTTCAGAATCTGCGGTTGTCCTTAGTGATATTTTTGGATTTACGAATAAGTGGCGAAGCTCGTGAGCTTTGATAACATGTTCAACCTGTTGACACCAGAGTAAGTAATTTTCAAAGTCGAGTTTCTCAAAAATGGCAGAAAACGAGGTATGCGAAGATGGTGATGGAAGCGTCAGCGACAAAGCTGGTGGCGGCGTTGCTGTATGCTGTGCATCTAAGTTTTGCGGCGATATCTCAGGATCATAACATGGCTCATCTTATACCATGTTAGAATTGTGAATATTGCTCATGATTCTCTTGAATCTTGACTAGTATTTCTGTTATATTTATTGCGTAATGATTACAACTTAGATTGGTCATATTTATTGACCTGTGCTTGCAGGTAACTGAGCCAAATATGACCGATACACGTCAGTTAGTTTGCTAGGGTCGTTACAACTGTCTTTGACAATTAGTTACAGGGGCCTGCTAGTGTAGGGTAATGCCTACAGCAAGCTCTCATGGGCTTGAGCTAGTATAGCTGAAATATTCCCTTGCTAGTAAACCATCTGTCAAGAGGGGCTATTCTGCAAATGACACATCAGATTAAGTTTCTTGTTGAGGGATCCTTTTGAAGAGATCTGTTATTAGGAACCAACCATGACTAATTTGAAAGATTCATGAGTCTAACGTGAAGGATTAGTATTTGTTTTAACTGTGTTAATTTAATTTATTTTTCTTTATAAATCTGAATATTTGTGTGTAGTTTACAAAAATGCTGTTTTTTTTCATTCAGATGTATAAAGGGCGAGCCAACTATTGAAGAGTACTATGATTTATATTTCGAAGCCGAGAAATACAACAGCCAGATATCAGAGGCAGTCTTGCTGTCTCCCAATGCTCAATCATTTCTCAATGTTGGAAGAGTTGTTGTCATAAAATCAGAATCAGTGAGTTCTTGTATTCATTTTTCACATTTGTATCCAAGGAAATAGAGGTAGAACATGATATGCCATTGGGATTTTTGGGAGTTAAGATAGCATTTGAAGGATTAGAGGGCTTGATATTGATGTTATTCCATCTACATTAGTCCATGCTTTAGATGTCGAATCCTGAGCATGCGAGAGTATGTTGAGAGTCCCAAATCGAGTAGAGATTGCTTAGGTATTATAAGGTTGCGGCAGGTTAGTAGCCGATTTTGTGAGGTTGAATTAGACCCTAATTCAACTAAGATAAAATTAAAACTATCCTAGATATTCTATTGGCCAAGATCTTTGTTGTTCCACCCACATTTGTCCTTGTTCCAAATGTCCGGGCATGGATATAAGGGGTTATGTGATGCATATTATTTCTCTTGCATTAGTCCATGCTTCAGATGTGTAGTTCTAAGAATGAGGAGGTGTGTTGAGAGTTTCATATCATACAAAGATATGGCTTGAGGTAGTGCTTCTAAGGCTTGCACAGTCCTCACCATGCAAGCTGGTTATGTGCGGTTGAGTTAGTCCCAAGTCCAAATTCTAAGATCATAGAAAACTTTAACTTTTCAATTCTTTATTATTTTTGTTCTTGTAAGTGCATAATTCTGCTAACTCCCAAACCGAACGGTATACACCAGAAAATGAAAAGTTAAAAATTTAAACTACTTGCCATAGCTTCTAGAAGCATCCAAACAAGCAGCAGAGTTTATAAGGCAATATGCCAATATGACACAAGGTATCTAAAGTCGGATAATTTTGCACTTGGCCTACTAGAAGCTTTCAGCTTTGGCACTGTTGGAATATGTCCATGTTCCAATATGTTGAATTTAAAAATTTCTCAAGTCCCACATCGTTAGAATATCTTTTTGGTTGAAAAAACCATTTAGTCCCACATTGCTCATGTGAGAAATATTAACTATATTACTTCACTATATAAGGAGTGCACATGTTTCATTCCAAATCACACCAAAAACTATTCTATTAGTTTTTCCTTCCTCACTCTCATTATTCTGCGTCTCTCGAATTTTTCGAGTATTTTCTTCCCCTTTCTTCCTACTCGTTGAATTTTCTGAGTATTTTCTTGAATTCTCTTTAGAGAATTATGTTAATTTCTCCTCATTTGAGTTGAGGAATTTTCAAGTTTAATCTTCTTTGTTGGAGAAATTATTATGAGCGGTTAAATGACCATTATTAATTTCTCTTTGGAGAATTATTTGAGTTTCTTTTTGTTTGAGAAATTATTATGACTGGTCATTGTACCAGATACTACGAGTGGTGTTGATACCATATTTGAATGGTCTTGTACCATCAGAGGGTGTATTTCTAGACCGATTATCTATCATGCAAGTAGTAATCGTACATTATAGAACTGAGCTGCTTTGCATAATTTTGAGCAGTGCCGCGAAACGTCTTAAAGAGAGCGACCTAGTCCGCGACTCAACCTAGTAATTTCTTCGGTGGCAAATATTTCAAAATCTGAAAACAACAGGCACTTCTACATTCTTTTCCATATCCACGGAGACCGACTTGACACCTGATTACGAGACCACCAAATATAGATTGCCAATCATCACAAAACTCTTTTCTGCTTCACAATGACCTCTGCAACTGTAAGAAGTGACTCATATAGTCATTACTAAAGTTATATCCATCCACTAGATTTCGGTCCACCAGATTTGCTCTTTTGAGCACTCTATTCTATGTCAATCTCCAGACAAAACCTGCTACCTTTAGAGGCATAATTTTGTTCCGTAATTTGGAAAGTAATGAATCTGGTTTGAGGGTTTCCCCATTAAAAGTCCCTCATACAATATCTTGATTGAATACTTCCCTCCTTTATCCACATTCCATCTCTAGGAAACTCCATACATTCAAATTACTGTAGATAGTACCTTCTGCGGTTCATTTAGCAATTCAAATTCCCATTGAATAAGTCCATCCTCCAATTATCATGCCAAAAAGAAACAGTTTCCTATTTCTCAATGATTTCTTAATTGAGTTGCTTAACCGCGTTTGTGGAAAACCTGTTATTGTTTCTGTTGATATTTGTATGTAGAATAGTCCCACATCGATTATATAGTGTAATTAGTTGTAATCTCTCTATATATAATAAAGTCTCCGTAGTGCTTTCATAACACACGGTTTAACCTAAATGTCTCTTAGTCTCTCCTAATTCAATATGGTATCTAGAGCCTTCTAAGAGGCAATTCTTCGCCGTGTTTTACCCGGTTGACCCACTGTCTTCCGGTAAGAAATTTTCTTCTGCAAACCGTGTCATCATTCCGGTTTGCCTCACCTTTTTTTTTCCAGCGACCTCTGCCAAGCACAGTCCACGAAAAAAAAAAATTTTTTTTTTGGAGGACTACTGTTCACCGCCGCCGCTACTGTTCACAAAAAAAAAAAAATTTTTTTTTCTTCGGAAAATCGCCTTCCTCCTCCGGTTCCAGATCCGCCCTAGGCTTTCGTTTTCGACTCACAGAAAGTCGTACTCTCGAAAAGTCGTACACTATGCAGACTTCACCTTTTCTTCAGAACCCTACGCCAAGCTACGAGGATTTTCTCAGGTGGTGTCAGACTAACCAGACCTCTGGTTCCACGGCTTCGTTTGCACACACTGGTAATTCATCTGTTTGCGTCTCTCAATCATCTCCTCTTGGTCCTTGGGTCCTCGACTCTGGTGCGTCTGATCATGTTACCGGTAATAAAAATCTTTTCTCTTCCCTTTCTACCTCTGGTCTCTTACCGAGTATAACTGCCGCAAATGGTTCTCAAACCCGATCCCAAGGGATCGGTACTGTTCAAATTCTACCATCTCTCTTTGTTACTTCTGTCCTATATGTACCCAATTGCCCATTTAATCTACTGTCAGTCAGTCGTTTAACTCGTTCCCTTAATTGTTCTATCACTTTTACTAACAGTGATGTTATTCTGCAGGATCGAAGTTCGGGACAGACGATTGGCGTCGGATGTGAGTCTCAAGGCCTTTACTACTTCTCTACGTCATCTACCACATGCTCCACCACAAATTCTCCACTCATTATACATGCGCAGTTAGGTCATCCAAGTCTTCCCAAACTACAAAAGTTGGTGCCCAGTTTATCTAAATTATCCACTTTACAGTGTGAGTCTTGTCAATTAGGGAAACATACTCGTAGTCACTTTCCTGATCGAGTCAATAAACGGGCTGCGTCTCCTTTTGCTTTAGTTCACTCCGATGTTTGGGGTCCATCGCGTACTGTGTCTACTTTTGAGTCTAGGTATTTTGTAACATTTATTGATGATTTTTCACGTTGCACGTGGCTATTTTTAATGAAAAACAGATCTGAATTATTTTCTATTTTTGAACAATTTTATCGAGAAATAAGAACCCAATTTGGTTTGTCCATTCGTACCTTAAGAAGTGACAATGCTCGTGAATATTTATCCCAACAATTTCAAACTTTTATGTCATCCAATGGTATTCTACACCAAACATCTTGTCCTCATACACCTCAACAAAACGGGATAGCCGAACGCAAAAACCGGCATCTCGTAGAAACCACTCGGACTCTACTTCTCCATGGTAATGTCCCTCTCAGATTTTGGGGGGATGCTGTGCTCACAGCGTGTTATCTCATAAATCGCATGCCCTCATCTGTCCTTAATAATAAAATCCCTCATTCAATCTTGTTTCCAAATTCTCCTCCGACGCTATCGCCATCACCGGATTCGATCCTGCAACCTGAGTCTGATCTTCCGATTGCCCTTCGCAAAGGTATACGTCAAACACGAAATCCTTCTCCACATTATATTGATTTATGCTATCATCGTCTTTCCCCTTTGCAGTATACTTGTTTGTCCTCTTTGTCTTCTGTTTCTATTCCTAAATCTCCAGGTGAAGCATTATCTCACCCTGAGTGGAGGCAAGCAATGATTGATGAAATGTGTGCTCTTCAAAGCAGTGGTACCTGGGAACTGGTTCCTCTACCCACTGGAAAATCTTTAGTAGGTTGTCGTTGGCTTTATACAGTGAAGGTTGGTCCAGATGGTAAGATTGATCGTTTTAAAGCTCGCTTGGTAGCCAAGGGATACACTCAGATTTTTGGGTTGGATTATAGTGATACCTTCTCGCCTGTAGCCAAGATGGCATCTGTTAGACTTCTTCTAGCCATTGCAGCCATTCGACACTGGCCTCTTCATCAACTTGACATCAAAAATGCATTTTTACATGGTGATCTTGAAGAGGAAGTATATATGGAGCAACCACCTGGGTTTGTTGCTCAGGGGGAGTCATCGAATATGGTTTGTAGGCTACACAGGTCTCTTTACGGTCTTAAGCAATCTCCGAGAGCTTGGTTTGGCAGATTCAGCACTGTAGTACAACAATTTAGTATGGTCCGTAGTGAAGCTGATCATTCTGTCTTTTATCGTCACTCAGTACAAGGGTGTATTTATCTTATTGTGTATGTAGATGATATTGTCATAACTGGTAGTGATGAGTCGGGAATACTCCAGTTGAAACAACATCTTTCAAATCAATTTCAAACAAAGGATCTTGGTAAACTCCGGTATTTCTTGGGTATTGAGGTAGCCCAATCTAAAGATGGTTTGGTGATTTCTCAGCGGAAATATGCTATGGATATTTTGGAAGAAACAGGTTTGTTGAACGCTAAACCAGTTGATACTCCTATGGATCCAAGTGTCAAACTACTACCCAATCAGGGGAAGCCTCTATCAGACTCGGGAAGGTATAGGAGATTGGTTGGAAAGTTGAATTATCTCACAGTCACTCGTCCAGACATTTCTTTTGCAGTCAGTGTGGTAAGTCAGTTCTTAAATTCCCCTTGTCAGGAACACATGGATGCTGTTATCCGGATTCTAAGATACATCAAATGTGCTCCAGGAAAAGGTTTAGTGTATGAAGATAAAGGACATACTCAGATAGTTGGATACTCTGATGCTGATTGGGCAGGGTCACCAATTGATAGGCGATCCACCTCTGGGTACTGTGTACTTGTTGGAGGAAATCTTATATCCTGGAAAAGTAAGAAACAAAATGTAGTTGCAAGATCAAGCGCCGAGGCAGAGTATAGGGCCATGGCAATGGCAACATGTGAACTCATTTGGTTAAAACAGTTGCTCAAAGAACTTAAAATTGAAGAAGCAAGACCAATGACACTTGTATGTGATAATCAAGCTGCATTGCACATTGCTTCAAATCCAGTCTTCCATGAGAGGACCAAACATATTGAGATAGACTGTCACTTTGTCAGAGAGAAGATCGAATCCGGCGTCATCGTCACAAGCTTTGTCAACTCTAATGATCAATTGGCAGATGTGTTTACAAAATCTCTGCGAAGCCCCAGAACTAATTATATATGTGGCAAGCTTGGTGCATTTGACTTATATGCTCCAGCTTGAGGGGGAGTGTTGATATTTGTATGTAGAATAGTCCCACATCGATTATATAGTGTAATTAGTTGTAATCTCTCTATATATAATAAAGTCTCCGTAGTGCTTTCATAACACACGGTTTAACCTAAATGTCTCATCGGACAATATATGGCCTGAACATGTGTTTATAAGTGGGGGCAATCCTCACCCTACAAGCCGGTTTTGTAGGGTTGAATTAGGCCTAACCACATCTTAATATGGTATCAGAGCCTCGTTTAAGATCCAGTGGGCCATCCACCATTTATTTCCACGCTCCAGTTGTCTAGTCCTGGGCGTGAGGGGGTGTGTTAAGAGTCCCACATCGGACAATATATGGCCTGAACATGTGTTTATAAGTGGGGGCAATCCTCACCCTACAAGCCGGTTTTGTAGGGTTGAATTAGGCCTAACCACATCTTAATTCTCCTAATTCAATAGTTTCCTCTAAAGATAAAATGTCCTACCAAATAGACCCCTGACCTCCCGACCTCCCACCAAATCCTTCTGTGCTACCATATTTGCTCCTATGGATTTTTGTCCATATAGAGAGTCCCCCTTTAACCTCTAATGCCATTTTTCAAAAATGCAAAATTAAATGCTCTCAAATATTCAATACTCAATACCCCTTCGACTCTTCCTCGACATATTTTATTCCAAGAAACTTGTTTATTCTTTTAATATCATAATGTTAATAGAGCAGACTTATTTATGCTTTTAATTCCAATAATAGTTATACCCCTTTGAACATTTTTCAAGCCTATTCTCATGTTTGTAATAGAGCAGACTTGGTCTTACCTCCGCTCAGTTGCTGGGTTTTGCCATCTGGTCCGACATAACACTCTTAGCCTATTACATTTAGACAATTTCATCGACAAGGAAAGCCCGCATTAGCTTTTGACCGGCTAGACTGGATGCAGTGTCACTAGAGAATGCTCCAGACACACTACCGTGTCCAGCCCACTATATTTGAGATCTGCTTGTCATCATCAAATACGGATGAAGGAAAGAGCTGTTCATAATATTTCCTTTATGACTCATTAAGAGAACTATGGCTATTTGGCCATACCTTATGGGTTATTTAAGGAAGTTTGCACAGGTGTTATCTTCATGATATTCTTGTTGTCAGCAAGCTAGCTCATTTAGATAATTTGAGGGTGGTCTTAAAATGGTAAAATCTATAATGTTGAATGCCTAATATTTTAATATTTACTTGGTCTGGTTCATTGATTTAAGATTCATAATACATCTAAATGTACTTCTGATATATAAGAGAGGTCATGGTTTGATGGATATGTAATTGTAATACCAAAAGTCTATAATTGCTTCAAGGTCCTTGACAAACTTTCAGCCATAGATAAGGTGTACTACTTGAGTTATAACATGTTCGTGTATTGTTTAAACGTTCGAACTTTAGTAGATATTGAGCTCCTTGACTCATTAATTAGTGCTTAATCCTTATCACAATTGATTGATTTACAGGCCCAGGACCACTTGCTTGCAGTGATTGTGAAAACTCCTTCTACAAATAGTAAACTATACATAGTTTTTGTGATTAGACCTGACATGCCATTCCCAGTGGAAAATGCTTCAGGTGGTGGGAAATCGCAGGACAAAAGCGGTACATTTGACGAAGGTGTTTTTGTAATGCCAAAATCAAGACGTGGTCTTTTAGATGAATATGCTACATCTGTTTCTGCTCGCAAAGGAAAAGGTGTCGTCAACATCAAATTGCCCCATCGAGGTTCTGCTTGTGGAATGAGCTATGAAGTCCGTGAAGTTGATATTAAAGAATTTCTATGTATATGCAGTAGAAAAATTAAGGTTGACCTAGTTGGACTTCTTGAAGATGTTAGCTGTTCTGTTTACGCAAAGACTGTTCAGTTGCTCCAGGATTTGAAATCAAATGGAAATAAGTATCCTCCTGCTCTGGATCCTGTGAAAGGTATTACCATTTATAGTTTTAAGGATTGATTGTGTCCACTTTTTATAGATAACAAGTGGATCATGTTTGGCCAAAGAAAAGTTTTCAAAACAGTAAAAATAAAGTATCATACTAAATTTCTTTGAGGGATGCCATCACTTTTACAAGGTTTTGCAAAAGGCAGGTTAAAGTTGCAAAAGCATCGAGGAGACATGATTATTATAAAATCCATTTTTTGGTCAAATGATTTATAACAAAATCTTTCCCATCGGGAAACATTGATGTTTCTAGAGCTTAGGTGTTTTGAATCCTCATTTGGGTGTAATGTCTTCTTTTATTTTAATAATTTGGTTACTGATTGGACTAGAACCACAGAATTAACAAGAACAATGGCCAAGTAGAGAATTTCCCTCTATGCAGAATGGATCTTTATTGAATTCCAATGAAACACTTTATAGGCAATTTGAGGAACCTGCAACCTCTCAATATAATTTCTAATTGGAAAAAGTCCCTATTCTACCATCATTATACTATTTATAGGGTTATTTCTTCCTAACCACCCTTTCTAACCAACTAACTAACTAACCAATTTTGTTATACTACTGACATTTACATGTTCCACCCTTTTAACTAATTAACTAATTCTGTTATACTACTAACAGTTACATGTTTCACTATTTAATTCCCTTGTGTTGCTTCCTCCTTTCACACACTTGATTGATAGGAGGTCTCAATGCTCTATCAGATATCTGCTTTGGTTTAGAAGTGTAGATTTTTGGAGTATTTGGATAAATAGGCTACTGTATGAGATTGAGAGCAAATTTATGTCACGAGCACTTAAAAATATATTGTTTCATTGAAAAATTTGAATTTAAGGGTGGATGAGGAGCTTATGAGCTTATCAAAACAAGCTAAAAACTGTATTGAACATATCATAAACTATTATTATAAGCTCTTAGAGATACTTATGTTAATTGCTTGCATGAGGAGATAAGTCAAATAAATTTTTTCAAATGTTTCTTACCTTAAGCTATATTGCTTAATTTCTTTTCCTTTTTTATAGATCTAAAGTTGAAAGAGGTGGGACTTGTGGAAACATACCGTAAGTGGACTAGATTGTTGGAGAAAATGTCCCAAAATCAGTGTAATGGGTGTATAAAATTGGCAGAGCACCTCAAGTTAGCAAAAGAGATAAAAACACACAAAGAAGAAGTCATTGAACTCCAGTTTCAAATGTCGGATGAAGCACTTCAACAGATGCCAGACTTTCAGGGCCGGGTATACCACATATTAATATTCTGTTTCTGTTGCGCTCATGAAAATATTGATATTTTGTTTTAGGACTAATTTTAAGGTGACTTCTATTTCATTTTACTTTCTCTCCAGATAGATGTTCTAAAGGAAATTGGATGCATTGATGAAGACCTCGTCGTTCAAATGAAAGGCCGAGTTGCTTGTGAGATGAATTCTGGGGAGGAATTGATATGTACAGAGTGCTTGTTTGAGAACCAGCTCGAAGAACTGGAACCAGAAGAAGTAGTGGCGTTAATGTCTGCTTTTGTGTTCCAGCAGAAGAATGCATCCGAGCCTTCACTCACGAGCAGATTATCTGAAGCGAAAAATAGGTAAATGTCAGTAGTCTTCATTTATGTTTAATTAGAGGTCTTCATAAGAAAAACATCAAATAAAATCCTTAGTTATTTTTATAACATAGCATATGTTATCGTTTTTGTCTTCCCGAAGCTTCAAAATTCTGATTGGAATCAGCATATGGATTCTAACACGTCTTTGTTACAGATTGTATAAAACAGCTATAAGACTAGGAGAGCTTCAAGCATCGTTTAAGCTCCCAATAAGCCCTGAGGAGTATGCCCAAGAAAATCTAAAATTTGGTCTCGTTGAAGTGGTTTATGAATGGGCAAAGGTTTCTTATGTAGAAAATAACAATATTTAGTTCTATAAATTCATCACTGATTAATTGTATGACTAACAAACCAATCGATAACTTTGAATGCAGGGTACTCCGTTTGCTGACATATGTGAGCTTACTGATGTTCCTGAAGGCATGATAGTAAGGACCATTGTCAGGTTGGACGAGACATGTCGAGAGTTCAAAAATTCTGCAGCAATTATGGGTAATTCTGCCCTCTGCAAAAAAATGGAATTTGCTTCTAATGCAATAAAACGTGACATTGTGTTTGCAGCTAGCTTGTATATTACCGGCGTATGATCATTAATAAACATGTTAGTGTTTATTTGAGCTCCAGTGTAGCGCATTAAAAAAAATAAGTGATGCTTTTGTACATAAAGAATTCATTGCATGTCATATATGCTACTTCGAAATGCACATTATCTCTTCATTTATTAACTTTTAACTTAAGCCTAAAACGCACTTTTTAATACTCCTATATTTTAAGATTTTTTTGGTCACCCTCAGTTTTGAAGATGCGTTAACCTCATAACATAACATAACAAACATTACACAACTAATATGGATTCGGGTAATTTTGAGTCAATGTCATTACTATAAACAATATGAAATGATTTTCAATCAAATTAACCATATTTTCAACACCATCTTTCTATTTAAACTAATAAATTAGTCATTTTCTTCCTTTCAACAAATCTTTCACAGCAACCGAAATTAAAAATCTCTCGCAACTCAACCTCCCAAAGTCCTGTCTGATCTATACCCGGTTCAATAACGAGTCATTAGGTCCCAGACTTATTCAAAATACGCAAATACTCCACTAAAGTAAAATGTTCATAATCTTTTAGTCTTAAAATCTAATCCTTTTCACACATCAAAAGAAAGAATGAACTAAAACAATCCCTTCAAGATTAATGCCATGAAGCCCTTCACTTCCAACATGAATTCCTATTTGGCGTGCAATGTTTGCTCCAGCTCTGTGTCCTGTGAAAAACATTTTCAAAATTGGCGTAACAATCTATCAATTTATCAGGATAATTTCTGGAGAAATTAAATTGCCACCCCCACATTATTATATATGACACCTCCTCAAACGCTATAAAAAGACTAAATTGTCTACACTCAAATTTTCACAACAAATTACAGAAACAATAGAATTTTTCAAATTTTTGGGAGATACTGGAAATTTCGAAGGCGATACCGGAAATTTCGTGAACAAGAATTTACGGTAGATTTGTGAAATTTCCAGTATTTTGTAATGGAAAATTTAAAATATACGGTATTTTCGTATCGAAAATTTCAAAATATCTGGTAATTTTATTTACCATTATACTGAAAATTTTGATATTTTCAGTGCGTCACATAATACCGGAAATTTTAAAATTTTCGATAGTTCAATTTTTTTTTGAAAAATATCGGAAATTTATGCTATTTTATATTTTTCTAATATTCTCATTTTACGGTGAGGACCAGAGGCAAAGATGGTTTCTATTGCGGGATGGACCACTGATAGAGTTGATGCTGAAGCCCAGGCTAACGAGACGCGAGCTTCAGAGCTACGTGCTGAACTCCGTCTTCCGACCGGTTCTCACCGAAAACAAATGGCTGAGCAGCATGCGCAGTTTCGCGTACCCCGCCGTCGGGGTGTTAGAGTATGCACTATTGGGGAGGTACATGCTCCTACTGAGGAGGTACATGCTTCTGCTGATGGAGGACCTTCAAACAGTCTGTGCTAACAGGATATGCGGATCATGTTGCTTATAGAATATGGCAGGGCGATGTATGTATTCTTGGTTTTGTTTAATAGCGTGTATATATATATATATATATATATATATATATATATATATATATATATATATATATATATATATATATATATATATATATATATATATTTGTTTACAAGATTTGATATATAATAATTTGTTTTAATTGCATAATTTCTTACAGGAGCGTCTCGGTGTTGAAGGTCGCTTCTCATGGTTCGAAGTTGAAGAACTTTCCTGAGAGTCCCATGCTTGAGGAGGTGAGGAGGATAATTAGAGAGTTCCATCTCCTGGACTTTGCTGATTTCTCCTTGACTATGCTAGATGCCTCGCTGTTATCAACTTTTGTTGAGAGGTGGCACCCGGAGGCCAAGCAAGCCATTCTAGGAGATTTGATGGAGTACTAGAGGAAGCTTGACACTCTGATCTTGGAGGATATCGTCTGGACACCATATACATCTCATCGCCCACATCGTCCATTTGAGGCATCTACTTTATATTCAGGACATATTAGATGGGAGAGCCATGTGGCTAGACACTTGTCTGAGAGGTGTCTACGCCAATATGGTTATGTACATGGCATCCCTCGTCCGATTCCAGATTCTTCGTCTGGTGGCATTGATAGATAGTTTCAGAGTCACATCTTCATCTCCCCCCATGAGATATTGGATACAGCCGTTGAGGTTCAGCAGCATGGGCAGTGCAAGGATGGATACCTTGAGTGATTTTACAGTGTGTCACACTTTCGGGTCATACCACCGGCTGCAACATCTGATGTTCCCGGGCCTTCAGGTACAAGGGATTCTTCCGAGCCACCACCACCACCTCTACCTCGTGCAGGTGACCAGGACAACCTCTTGCAGTTCATTTCCGTTCATTTAGATAACCTCACGGGATTGGTAAACCCTGATAGTGAGGTTTATACTAGTTTAGCTTGGTTGGCCGATGTTGCCCGTGGAGGGTCTATGCAGATTTATTTTATTATGATTGTATTATATGTATATTTTGTGACAAACAAACATCTTATTGATTGCATAATCTTTTTGCGATTACATGTTTCTATTCGATGAAGAAAATAACATAACATTGTACAACAAACATAATTAACAAACATAAATAACAAACAACAGACATAAATAGTACTCCTAAACATGAAAGACTAGGCACTACCGGATGACTCTGAACGCTTCAGCATCTTTATTATGTCGTCGACGGATCTTCGGATCTACGCGTCTAACTCGATCAAACCTTTAGTTATCCTACGGCGAAATGATTTTCCGGTTGCGATTCACCAGAAATTTCAAATTTTTTTGTCAATTTTCAAAAGCTAGCACAAGTACCGGAAATTACGCAAATTTACGATAGATAACGTTAGTCGGAAATTTGAAATTTCCGGGGGGTACCAGAAATTTCAATTACACTTGAAATTTCCAGTATGTTTGCAGATGAAATTTCATATCTTTGCGGTCTTGAACCGGTAGCGTCAACTTCTTCTACGAATTCGTGCACTGATCTTACACAGTTCTTCATCATAGATACGATATGGTTCTTATTTAATTTACACATTTTTTATTAGTTTTTTGTAAATTGATGAAGTTTACTAATTATATGTTGTTCTAATTGACATATTTTTGAATCACGAGCTAAAGTTCTTGAATGGGCATAATCTACTAGTAAAATTCATGGTATTTCTGTTGTTACAATTCGGTCCGATTCTACAAATGGACTGCGAGGGAGGAAGCATAAATTGATTATGAGTTGTGACAGAGGGGAAATTACAAAAAGAAAAATGATTATGGGAAGCCTTTTGACGACAATTATTCTATGAAGGTTAGATGCCCATTTAGGCTGAGATCTGTTCCAAGTGGTATCGATTGGAAGGTGATGGTTAGATGCGGTTTGCACAGTCATAGACTAGATAAGGATTTGGAAAGCCATGACATATTGGGTCGTCTAAAAGATCATGAAAGAAAGTTTGTTAATAACATAACGAAGTACAACATGGCACCAAGATACATCGTGTCTGCTTTGAAAGACAAAGACCCAGAAAATCTCACGAGTATTACCCAGGTATACCGAGCTAGAGCAACGTACAAAATATGCAAGATAGGTGCAATGACAAAAATGCAAATGTTATTGAGCCTTATTAATCAAGAGAAATACACGTGTTGGACTAGAAATAGGGAGAATTCATATATTGTGGGTGATATCTTATGTACACATCCTGATTCTTTGAAGTTGTTGAATATGTTTCATATGATATTAATATTTGATTGCACATACAAGACAAATAGGTAAGAATTTTAATTCTCTCATTCAAAAATATGATTGAGTGACATGGTTGTTTATATGCATTTTAATCGTACAGGTACCAACTACCATTGCTGGAGATTGTTGGTGATACGTCAACAAAATTGACGTTTTCAGTTGCTTTTTCCTATTTGAAACATGAAAGGGAGGAGAAATTCGCATGGGCACTACAGAAGCTCAAAGAGTTGTTCTATTCAGAGAAATTGCTTCCGAATGTTGTGGTGACGGACCGAAAACTTGCATTAATGAATACCATTAATTATGTGTTTTCAAATACAACTCATATGTTGTGTACGTTCCATGTTTCAAAAAACGTGATCATGAAATGTAAGGAGTATGTGAAATCAGAAAGACAAGAACATGCCATGGATCAATGGAACAACATCATGTATTCAAATATAGAAGACGAGTTTGATGTACATTTTAAACACTTAGAGAGTGTTTGTGGTGATATTCCATCTTTTGTCAAGTATGTGAATGAAACATGGTTAACACCATATAAAGAAAGATTTTTTGCTGTATGAACTAACAGAGTCACTTATTTAGGGAGCACAACAACAAACAGGTACATTGGACTAATAGAAAATATGTTTATGTTTAGATATTAATTTGAAAGTTGTTTAGATGATATGTTCATGTTTTTTAGGGTGGAGTTTGAACATTGGAGACTAAAGAACTTGTTGACTACAAGTCGTGGTGATTTATGCCAAAGTTGGCATGGTGTGAACATAATGTTGAAGTTGCAACTAGGTTCCATCAGAGTGTTATTTTAAAAAAGTATCGTCAACATTGAGCATCAGTATAATACTCATTTCTATTCTAAATTGCACAATTTTGATTCAAGACAATGTATATAACTCATTGAAATGGAACTAGAAAGAGTAAAATTTCATGCTTTCTTTCATCCATACATCGATGACATAATTGATGTTGAGAATGATGAAAACTGTGGTTTCCGTTGCATTTCATCTTTATTGGAATGGAGAAAAGATGCATGTTATTCAGTTCAGAAGTAGTTGGATACTCAAGTTCATCAACATGTTGACTTGTTTTCCAAGTTGTTTTATGACACTATCTTTGTTGTTAGGACTTAGTTACAAGTAAAACACTTGGGCGTGCTGGGTAGGGGTAAACGGAGTGCATCCCTGATATGGGTTACCCCATTGCTTATAAATACGGTGTAACACCCTATTTCCCTGTCGGTATAATAAGTAAAATCAG